TACTTAGATTCGCAAATGGTAATAACGTTATCAGGTGTTCGTTTATACATCATCCCTTTTCTCCTTTCGAAAAACGACACAAAAGTAGTTTCCCGTCTTCCACCTTTTATGTGTTCTGAGAAAATTTCAAGAGGAGCACTTTGGCTCTAGTAGCGAAGACATCAGCCACTTTCATATCGAACTTTTCATGTCGACAATAACATGGGTGGAGTTCGGGTTTCAAAGGAGGCGAAGCCACGGATAATTTCTTATCTGGATATAAGTACGGGCAAAGAATGATTTTATAAAATAAATTTTTTTATAATATTGTATATGAAATAAAAGAGTTAGAATGAGTTCACCGTATTTCAACATAAATACGCAGGTATATATACCAGGCGATCTGTTGTTAAAATGGCCAAGTTTGAGTGGGAAGTAATGGATGATTTATTTAGACATACTTTTTTCAAAAAGGAAAATCAACGAAAAGTAGATTTTATTTTAAAATCTTTATTATCATACAAATAAACTATTCTTTTCAACTAATTCTTAAAGATAATTTCCTTTACATGTTGGCCGGTTAAAAGCTACGGTTAAGATGGTCCATTCTGAAGTTCCAATTGTCGATGACGCGTTCGAGAATTTCGATTGATGTTTAACCAGTGACTCGAGTAATATTGGCCTTCCAATGCCTCAATTGTAGCCGATTTATTTATGTAGACTTTGGACTTCACGTAGCTCCAACGAAAAAAGTCTAGAGGTGTGATGTCACAGGATTTAGGCGGCCAATTCAAGACCTAAGCGTGAAATAAATTGTTTACTGAATCGTTCTTGCAGTAAAACCATTCCTTTACAGGCAATATGGCAAAATCTTGTTCAAACCAAATATAGTCGAGACAACGAGCTTAAACCATACGAGCATAAACCATACGAAACAGTTGTTTTTACTGGATGAATTGGCAACTCTTAAACCTCTTGCTCATCGGTCTAAATATGAGCATTTTGTTTATTCACGTATCCGTTAAGCCAAAAATTAGCCTCGTCGGAAAGCAATTTTTTTTTTCGAAAACAGTGGATCTTCTGCAAGCTTATCAAGAGCCCATCGACTGAAATGGTAACGACTCGGAAGGTCGATCAGCTTCAGATCTTCCACTTATTGAATTTTGTATGCTCTTAAAATAAGATCATTACCTACCATACGCCAAGTTGCTGCGCCTTTCTGCTACCGCCTCTATATTTTCTTCAGTACGTGGAGATTGTGGTCTATTTGGCTGCGTGTTATGCAATGATGAAAACTGGGTTTTAAACTTACTGATGCTAACTTTGAACGAGAGAGGCATTGTTTGCTTTTAATGTCCTCTCTCAAAGATGCTTAGATATGAACCTAGATATTTATTCCTATTTCATCGACTTCGAGAAGGCATTCGACAGGGTCCGACATGAAAAAACTAATAGAAGTAGTGACAAACAAAGATATAGACAGACGAGACTTACGAATCATTATCAATCTGTATTGGAATCAAAAGGCCAACATAAAGATAGAAGAACAAAAGTCCTAAAATATAGATATAAAGAGAGGAGTAAGGCAGAGCTGTGTTCTGTCACCATTACTGTTTAACGTGTACAGTGAAGCCATATTCCAGGAAGCGATAGCGGATCTGGGTGATGGAATCTCTGTAAACGGAAGACTAGTAAATAACATAAGATTCGCTGATGACACCGTTATAACGACAGACACTCTGAAAACGCTACAAGAATTGGTAAATAGAATTAACGAATATTGCATTAGATACGGACTAAAAATAAATAAGAGAAAAACTAAATTTATGATTGTCTCAAAAACGCAACATGGAAATGAAAGATTGATGATAGAGCAAACCCAAATAGAAAAAGTAGAGATATACAAATATCTGGGAACCTGGGTTGATGACAAAAATGACCAAAGCAGAGAAATCAAAGTCCGAATTAAAACTGCAAGGCAAGCATTGGTGAAAATGAAGACAATGCTTACCAACAGAAACCTTCAGTTGCATCTCAGATTGAGGGCTCTAACATGTTATATATTTTATATCTTACTATACGAAATGAAAGCATGGACATTCCAGAAACAACACATAAGAAAAATAGAAGCGTTCGAAATATGGTGTTACAGAATAATATTAAAAATTCAGTGGGTTCAAAGGGTTACCAATGCTGAGGTACTACGACGTCTAAATAAGGAGTTAGAAATTATGAACAGCATAAAAAAAAGAAAACTAGAGTATTTGGGTCACATAACCAGAGGAGAAAAATATGATCTGCTGAGAATTATTATGTAAGGAAGGATCCAAGGAAGAAGAAGCATAGGAAGAAGACGCATCTCCTGGCTGAGGAACCTTAGAGAATGGTTTAACTATAGTTCACTACAACCTTTCAGAGCATCAGCCAACAAAGTGACCATAGCCGTTATGATATCCAACGTCCGATAGGAGATGGAACTTAAAGAAGAAGATGCTAACTTATATTCCTGAAGTTTTTAGAAAATTTTAGATTTAAAAGTAATATTTTAAGGTAGCATTGGATTAAGTTGCCATTGGAAACCAAAGTTGGTAAACAGCAAACGATACAATCAATGTCAGTTTTGACAAATGCAGTTCGGTAAGAGGTCGTACAAACTTAATATTATTTAAATTATTTATCGTTTAGTTGGACATGTACCAAAACGCGATATTGTAAGAATTTTTAGTGCTCAAAATATTTCTATGTCAATGAGTTACCAGATAATTAAAAGAGTGCGAAAATGGTATACTATGCCTTAATTTGCCCAAAAGTGGAAGACCAAGAGTTTAAACTCCTACTCGCGAACAGAGATTAATTCAGAGTGTGGAGAACGAATTAGCAAAGTATTTGCGAAATGGTGGCCGAAGATATAATGTTTAACGAATGACTGCAAGTAAAACAATTTCTAGAAATAATTTAAAACGGTATAAAAGAAAAAAAGGTCCAAGTATACACCAGCCCAGTTAGAAAAAACTCCTAGATGTTGCATTGAGGTGTATTCGTTTTCCTGGTAAAATTCGCAATATTGATGATGAAAAGTATTTTACTTGATCCAATTCGAAAATGAAGGATTTTATACACGTAATGTACAAGATGCACCGGACGAAGTTAGGTTTAAGGGAAAAGTGAAATTTGCCGATAAAATTTTGGTATGGTGTGATATCTCAGAAGCTGCTGTTTCATAGCCGTTTATTGGATGTGTTCGCGGTAAAGCTCCACTCCGATTATGTGGACCATAAATTGCTCTAAGCTCTAACAAAGTCCTCGTCTAGCCTATTTCGTAATATAGCCGAATAATTTCTAGGCGCTGTGCCGGGCCTCTTCATGATGAAATATCAAATAATACTGAACAAATAGGCAACGTCAGGTAACACGATTCATGCACGATCTCCCATTAAATCCCCACTAAAGAAAGTATCCATAAGTTTTTAAAGGTAGTTTTTAGCATAAATTGCTTCTAAGTATCACTAGAAATCATAATTTCACTAGGCGTGAGTTCTCAAAGCAGGCTTAATTTTTTGTTAAAAAGTTTATTAAAAAAATTCAAGAAATTCAATATTTTTCTTTACTTATCTCATATATCTTGGCAACTGTTGTGAACAAATTCCCCTTCGTTGGCTCAGTGAAGATGTTCGTTCAGTTGTAATGGAAACACAAAATAATAGTAGCAGAGTTTATTGACGAGACGTACACTATGGGTGTTGACCCGGGATTACTTTGAGTAGAGACTGTTGCAGTTGAGCGTTGAAGACTATCACGTTTGTTGAGTGAATATTGATTGAATGCTTCTTTAGGCAAGAGATTTTAGTTTTATATAAGTTTTAATTGGGTCAATATATTCGCGGACCTAATGACATGTGTATCTAAGTTGTATGTAAATTGTTTAACTTTCGTCAGCACTTTCGACTGATGTCCAAATTTTATTGTTGCTAATTGACCAAATCTAATGTAACCTAATTAACTACGTGTGTGTATTTAATAACAAATAAATTCATTCGGTCTACTGGATGATAAAATTATACTGTCCAATTTCGGATATGAATTCTGAAGATTTGATATTGGACATGTTGGTTTTATTTGAAACACATTTTTTCTATGGCGTAAAGATTCTTGGTAAATCGATTTTTTGTACTTTTACCACCTATTAAGGGGAGTTTTAAAAGGGTAAAAGTGGTAAACTTTTTTGCATCTTTTAAGTGTTCCAAAGTTTTTCCAAATTGTTCGTATGGTTTCTAGGGGTCAACTCTTTGAAGACTGGACTATAGAGTTTATACAAATTTTATATAGAAAATTTTACATGCTCAATTGAACTAACATTTAAAATCGCCGGTCGCTTTAAGCGTTGTTCCAGATAAAAACAATTCATTCTTTTAAAAAAAGTGCGAATAAACATTTTTGTTTAAAATTATCTCAGCTACATTTCTGATTTTTTTCTACTACGTATAGATGCGCCGGGTTTTGCTGGTTTTCTTCCTCTTGCAAATATCTTTTATAGAGATTGGATTTAATTTTATTTTTTTAATAGGCCCCATTGTACGTCACTACCACCATTTGTCAATTGTAGTTATAACTGTGAAGTTTAATTAAACATTCGTATATTGCGTGCGTGGATAAATAGTAACATCAAAAGATAACCAGAGCAATTGCATTTTTTAATTAATTGCAATTTTTAAAGCTATAACGCTATGACGTAGAAAATAATTTCGAAAGTAAACACGATTGTGTAAATTACGCAAATAAATAAATTTATTCTAAAATAAAATAAATAGAAAACTGGGAAAACAAGTAAAAATAAAAATTTAACACTAATTATTTCTAGCATTTTAATTTTCCATTTAATGGTTATGCATCTAAACACATCATTTTGTAAAAATTTTACCTGCAAATTTATAGGGAAAATATAGAACTCTATTTTTTTTTCTAAATCTTGTTTTGATGATATTTTCGCTAGTCTGGAATTATAACCTGTTTTTTTATTACAGGCTGAAAATCTTCTTTTAGACTCCAATAATAATATAAAGATAGCAGATTTTGGATTTTCTAATTACTACACAATAGGCGGCCAGTTGTCAACGTGGTGTGGGTCGCCCCCGTATGCCGCCCCTGAAGTTTTCGAGGGCAAGAAGTACGTTGGACCAGAAATTGACATATGGGTGAGTACGGAGTTTCACTATCGATTCCATTCGTAGGTAAATATTCATACCGAGCAGAACAGTTATCTTTATTATTATACCGTCGTACTTTATGTCATTGCCAGAAGAGAAATAAACTATAGGAAGATTCAGCTAAGGAAATATTATTCTGTGAAAATTATTGGAGAAACCGTTTCGCTGTTCTAGCGAAATATTAGTCTTTGTTAATTGAGATAATAGATTCTTTTTATTGAACAAGGTTTTATTATAATTTTGTGAAAATATTTTGGAATAAGATAAATATATATTTAAATTTTTATATAAACCTTTATAAACTGGACGGCGTTATGCATCACTAGACCAAGCGCCAAAAATTGATTTTGAGGTATTTGACTTTAAAGTTTTCACTCTATTAAAATTCAGTATGTTACAATAGTCGTAATTTTTTGTTTTCTGAAGACAATTTTTTATTTTTTCTCTAAGTGCGAAATAGTAACTTGCTAATGTTGACGAAAAACGAAAAAAAAAATAATAAAAAGGCTTTTGGTCGACATACGATTTTCGCCACATTGTGTAATTGTGTTATACATCAATAGACCAAGTGACATGGAGGTCGTTTGGTCTAGTGATGCGTGACTAAAATATCACTTTTAGTGAATGATTAGTAGGCCACAAGCTATTTTTTCTTTTTGGGTATGACAATAAAAGTCGTTGTTTTAAATACTTAAGAAATTAATCAAAAATAGAAAAAAAATCTTGAACTCGGTGTTATAAATTAAACATTATTCATCTTGCATGTCAAAGTCTAATTCTCCATAAAATCCATCAATACCATCTTCTGTCATTCACTGTATTGCTACTGAAAAGGGGGCGATACCGAGGTTTTACATCATTTGGTATTAGTTTCATTAAAGATCTTAAGTTGTTAAGCTTAGGCACAGAAAATGGCTTGCCTGTGGACCAAAGAGGAATCAAGTGGTTACTTAGGGATTGCATTGCGACAGGCCGTCCTTTTTGAAGTTTCTTGTGAAGATCTAATTTGTTAGTGGTATAAACCACTGCCGTACTGCTATGGCTGTACCACTAACGAATTATTCAAAACAGCAGTAAATAAAATTAGAATCGCCCTAATGATATCCAATCTCCGATAGGAGATGCACTCAAAGAAGAAGAAGTGAAGATCTACTTCTAGTTCATTAGTGTTAAAATCAGTTTTTATAAAAATACTCAGTGGTTTATCCTGTCTTATTTCAATTTCTGTTGTATTAAGCCAGCTTACCTTACCTACTGTTTTCTACTGATTACTGTTTGTAATCATAGTTCCCAACTTCTTTGTTCCAACGAATTCTTCTTTTTGCATTATGTGAACTACTAGTGGGTTCTTTTTACGAGATTCGTTTAGGTAATCATGAACGGTATATAAACGTTCAATATCTCCAAAATCACTATCATTGGGTTAAAAACTATGACCAGGAAAGAGATAGCGTAATGTAATTTTTTCAATGGTAGGATAGTTTCCAAAATCGTTTTCAGAATCAAAACGATTTTGATGTCGCGTTTTGGCCGCCACAAGAGTCTGACAACAAACATCTAACAACATGTTTTGCAGAATAAGATTTTCTTCAATGTGTTTCCTAAAACAACTGCCTACTTCCTGGCTGCCCGACCAGCTTCACCTTCAATCCAAACATACAATACATGACTTTTATTATCCTTGCCGCTATGGATACCAAGGTTGTAAAAGATAATTGACGCTTATAATATACGATATTTGTTGGAATTCTCCAATGGGGAGGAGTTTTTCTAAATCAAAGCAAAAGGTTTTAATTTCTGGTTGATCGGTGCTTATCTTCATGTCTAGCTTTCTTCTAGATTGTGCATTTTCAGCTTCTTCTAAGTGCACATTTTTTTCTTCCTTTAACTTGCTTAATTTTGTCGTATCTGCGCAATTTTTAATTTCTAATTCGAAACAATCACATCTACTACAAGTATCTTTTTTTTACTTTTTTCTTTGAAGATTAAATCGTTAAAAATATTTTTTTGTAAAACGAAAATTTAACAGGATCATTGTCTGCTTCTTCAATATACAATTCATACATTTTATTTAATGCTGTTTCTTCTGTTCGGTATTCTTTCTCTGTGTTAGTTCTCTGTAATATGATTTGTACTTCGGAAATTGCGTTATCTGCTAAATTAGTATTTGTACACGATTGTCATTAATTTTTTTATGACCTCCATTTTAACCACGACAATCTCGAACACCCATTGGATGTTTCATAGCTTTCAATGCTGCATTTACTTTGCAACTTAATATTCTCAATGTCTGTAAAAAAAGTTTACACACTGTCAAAGCGGATATTGTGTATATCCTTGTAGCATTTCTTTTGGTACTGGTTTTTGTTCTTTTACGCTTTATTGGGACTTCGGAGAAATTGCAGCTCTTTGGCTCATGAGATTCAACATTGTAAAACTTATCAATTTTTTTTGGTATTATCCACACCAATCTTGTTCAACCACTTACAAAGATACATATCGAACTATTTTAATTCTTTACATACATTTCTCTGTGTGTCTTGTTTTAAATACAACTTTTTTTCTTCATTCGCAACTTTGTAAGTACTTCGTATTCTTCCTTTTTTTTGATCTTCCCATGGGTGAATAGTTTTTTATCACTTCACTGTTTAATGCTATGTTCTCTTCTTTTGTTCGTGCTGAGGAATAATGTTACTTCTTGTTTCTCCTTTAGAAGTTGAAGACATCTGCAGTGATTCTTCTTGTGCATCTTCTGTAGAAAAATTTAAGGAACAACTGCCACTACTTCTTAACGTAAACGCCTCAAGAAGTTATTGTCAACAACGTTCATGTACGTATGTTGCCAAAATATTCGATTTACAATCATTAAAACTCAAAACTTTTCTGATGCCTTTCTCTTGGTCTAGTGATGCAAAATTCAAAATCCAGAATAAGAAGAAAGAGCACTTGGTCTTCTTAAATATATCTGGTTAACCGTTACTAACAGATTAATGGGATTTATTCTGTAGATAGTTGATGCTATTTCCCACCAGAAACGCCATAATCCACAATTTGATAAAATGCCGCTTGGTTTAGTGATGCATAACGCCGTCCAACTAATATAAGGACAGGTACTTAAGTTTTGACATCGACGGATAAAACAAATATTTATCATGAAAAATAGGTTCTTTAAAATCGTAATATATAAAAATTAATTTTTAGTGCATTTGACACAATTATGCATTATTTTTTTAGTCTTATGGAGTGTTCAGAAATCAATCAGTAAAATTCAACAAACAAAAAATTAAATTAAAGGGTTTTTATTATAATTAAATGTAGTATAAACGGACTGAATTGCAAAAAAAGAAAGCAACAAATATTAAGGAAAAAATTCAAATTTTCAATAAAAAACTGACTGACGATCTTCCGACTTTTTGAGTCAGTTTTGCCAAACTTCCGGTCATAACTTTTTAACCGGAAATGTCATTAAACCATGGTGTCTCATGTCAATATTTATTTCTTTTCAAAAAACTTTGTTTTTATGGGAAATAAAAAACCGGAATAACAATTGTATATGTAAAATATTGTAAAGTATTGTAAAAATTCTCATTTTTTTTTCAGAGTTTAGGGGTAGTCCTATACGTTTTAGTATGCGGTGCTCTCCCGTTCGACGGTTGTTCACTACAAGCCCTTCGAGACAGGGTACTTTCCGGTAGATTTAGGATACCATATTTTATGAGTTCAGGTAAGTTGATAATTACTTAATTTGTGTCTTGAACAGGCACTAATATCTTCAGTTTCAATTCTTTCGAATTGACGTTGTCATTTTTGTAAAGATCTCTGTTTTATATTTACGTCATGCTATTAGGATCTTTTATTTATCCATATTATACTTATCATTTTTATTTGATTACCTCAGTCAAATAGTACACTAAACATCATTTATAATTCCATCAATTCCTCCAAACAGCACACATACACATCTACACATACCTTATCTCTGACGTAAACACGAAAAAACTATAACTAATTGATAATTATTATTGTCGAGTTCCAGAGATTAGTTATCTTAAAAAAAACGAGAAAATTATTCTCTAATCACGAACGGTCACAAAGCGGCAGGCGGGAGCGGCACAATGTGGGTGACCGGATATAATATATTGATAAAGAAATAGATTTGATTGGCAATAAACGATAATATTTATCACTAATAGTTAGTTATTATAATATACAGTGCTTTTTTTATTATTATTATTGAGTTAATGCCTCGACAACTAAGATCATTGGCATGGTACAGTCAGGTGTACCTAGTGTAGTGTGTGTGTGTGTAGAGTAATTGTCTTGATACTTAGCAAAGTCGACGTCATTGTCTTTGCTAAAAGACGCTAATTGTATCCGAACGTCTGCGGTCCCTCCGGTGAGTACCGATCGCACAAGGATAGAAATTATTTTCATTCATTAATTTTTTAATAAACGAAAATTTTTCCACCCAAATGAGATTCGAACTCACGACCTTTAGGTTTAAAGGTAGGCGCTCTTACCACTGAGCCACAGAGTGGGTAATATACAGTATTAGATTCTGTGAAAATGCTGAAACGTAGATTTTTATTCCAAAGAGGTCATCTTTTAACGATGTAAATATCTGGCATATGTTAACCCCCAACGTTTCGATATCGCAAACCCTTAATTTTAACTAGAAAATATACCATGTGGGGCATATCATTGATCAGGTATTTCGCCGGAAAATTGAAACATTATTGATTTTCTTCTTAATATTAACTCTATTTTTGTTAAAAAGTATCAATTTTACATGTGGGGGCGGTAGTCTCAATCATGACTCAGTTGAATGCCTGTACTGTGGACATTCGGACACTGTGACACATATGATGTTAAATTGCAATGATGGATAGTAGAAGAAACAGAATGGAAAGAGACACACGTGTCAATTTTGTTACAGTGAGAGAAATGATTGAGAGAATGATTGAAAATTGATCAGGTTGAACTAACATACAAAGCTATATCCGTGTAGTGATCAAGAAAAAAGAAGAGGAAGAAAGACAGCTGAACCAACGACAGAGATAAAAGTGAAAGATGCTGGAAGTTGAAGCTAGAAAAGTGGGTTAGACTGTATGAGTTAGAATGCGTGAGTCAGACTGTGGGGAAGGAGGAAATGCCCGTCTAGGAGTGATGCCGTACTAGGAGCGATGAGGGTCTTCTACGCGCTACCTGAAACGAGACAGGGATCCTCCTTGCTGATGAATGGAGCGTGGATGTGTATGAATGGAGAATGAATGAATAAAGGTAGTACTTCGGAAGTGATGCTGGCCTCACCATGCCGATCGCTGATGACAAGAAATGTCTGGTTTAGCACTTAATCATTCGGCATAGACTTGGCTACAAGAAGGCATTTTAAAGCAGCTAGGAAACTAACACTGGGAATACGGAGGAGAACGAATCCTGCAATAAGGTCAGTCAGGCGGCGTCCTGTACTAAGATGTCTTTTGAAGATTCCAGACTCCCCTCTATAAAGACGAAAAAATAAAAAAAAAAAAGGAAAAAAAATTATATTAAGAGCCTGGAATTAGGAACAAATCCTGGTCGAGGATTTGTTTGCCCCTTACACAAAACGAAGATTATTCGAATGTAGAAACTGTGGGTAATTAATTATCTTTAATATAGTGTAAAATAATATTTTTGACTAACGTAAGTATCGGAAGCATGGATCATATTCAAGACAGACTATATATTCTACTCATATTTAAAGAAAGGATCCTGAGGGAAATATTTGGGGAAATCTGTAAAAACGGTATGTGGAGGATGAGGTACAAGGATGATGAATACATTTAGCACTTGCAGTTGAGCGTCTTTTGGTTCATGGCCTTGTTTTAACAGGTACTTAAATATCTTTCAGTAAGTACCTTTTAGTATTCCCCTTTTCTTCATCTTCATCTCCTCATCTTTGGAAATATGTTTTACAAATGGATCCATTTCTGTAGCTTATGGATAAGTGATGCTGTCCGGATAAGCTGACTCTTGTAAAATGAGAACTTACGGAATGAATAATCACTTCCAGAAAAACTCTATATATCAGGTGAAGGTTAATGAATTTGGAATATACCTGATACCTGGATTCTGCTTAGTAAGCAACTCATTTAACATAGCGTGACTAAGAAACGGTTTGTACCGGAATTCCTCATCAGCAGTCAACTTACCGATACATTATGTGCTATACTATGCGTTTTACCCATCCAGAATACTTCTCTCTACACTGTCAGTCGTAGTATTAGCTTATTCTAGAGCTGTTTAGAAATCTGTGTCTCCTCCAAGTTACTTGATCTGTTTTTCCTCTTACCATGGGCTACTTATATGCTATGTTTCAAGAGGTAAAACTGTAAACATTTTATGTAAAATGATGATGATTGTATGATGAATTGCATTCACTTCGCTGTTAATGATCTAGTGGATTGATGGTTCAAACCTTGACCAGAAAATATGGCTAACATAGTAGTCTAACATTTGGTCTAAACGGACTAGGATGCTGCCACTTAGACTAGTATTTAGAATACTAGATCTATCGGATCGAGTTGTGTGTTAAAAAAAACGTTGAAACTAAGAAAATGAATCGCAAGAATTAATTGCTAATATAAAAAATACCTCATCATCACCTAGAGCAAGACTCGGGAAACATCACCAACCAAACATGCGTACTACGAAGAGGAATAAATCTAGCATGGACAGCCTATATAAAACGAAAAGACATGTGTTTAAAATGTAAAACATTTGATCTTAAGGCGAAAACCAGGAGTTACCGATGTAATTTTCCGAATTGCCACACTGAAATGGAACAGGGCGGACACGTCGCCCGAAACAGTGATGAAAGGTGGACGTAGAGATTGCTTGAGTGGAGGCCGATGTTAGACAAAAGAAGTAAAGGAAGACCCCCTGCTCGTTTGACTGACGATCTCAAGAAAATGTCAATAAATTGGATGAAACGTGCTCAAGATAGAGCACAGTGGATAAAAATGAGGGAGGCCCATGTCCAGCAATGTTCGCAAAAGACTGGGTGATGATGACGATTAATACTCGACATTAATTAACTTTCAGAAAAGTTACTACGTACCTTTTTTTGTTCAGAATGACTCAAAAAACTTTGTCCTGGGGAAAAAAGTTAATTTTTGAAATTTTTAAATAAAATTATTTAAACAAAATCTTAACCAACGTGGCTCGCTAGTTTCTTGAGGATTTGATATTAGTGACTAATTTTTGATAAGCTTGTGTACTTATCTAGTTTTTTGCCGATATCTCGATTTTCCGTAGGTGACTGTGGTGTGGTAGTTTTTGGGAGTTAGTCAATGTACCAATCAACAGCAATTAATTAGCAATAAAATATGCTGCCGAAGATGTGGCATGTAGCCCTTTTCCATGCCTAGTGAAAGCTCTGCTTATATTAGCTTTACCGTAAAGTTAACATACTTATTATTTCTCGGAAACGGCTACAGCCAATAAGTTTTTTTCTTTCCGTAATAGTTAGCAACTCCGTAAAAAATTAGCAATTATATAGCAATAAATTATAGTCTAGGTCTAAATTAGGCATTATAAAATGTATAATATGCTAACTTTAACGGCATAAGAATAAGTAATTAATAGATCTTTTTATGTTTACAAGCCATAAAGTGCGTAATGATATTGCTATTTTTAGAAATAAATTTATTAATATTCCTGATGATTTAATCAATAACCAATTGATTCGTTTCGATAAAAAATATCTTTAACAAATATCATTAATGAAATATACGTCTATTAGTTTCAAATCAATGAGACAATGGTATAAAAAATATGGTTTAAAAACTGTTTGTATAACTATCTTATTTACGTAGGTACCTGTGTTTATTTGAAATATATTAAAAACATAATCAAGGATATTATAAACTCTTTTTATAGTTATTATGGTTATAAATATAATTAAAGTTGTTACAAACAAAACAATATGGAGTACAAAAGAATCATGCACGTCAGTTTATTTAAACGAGTACAAGTTTTGTTTATTTAATCCTTTTAAATAATAACAAAAGAATGTAGACGTTAGACTAATAATATAGGTCAGGGCATTTAGGAAAAAAATAATCGATTTTTAAATTCAGCACCTATCGACTACACCAACTTTTTGCATTGCGTTCGAAATGACGTCGTCATCGAACGAAGCTATTCCTAATCTCAATTTTTTGTAGTAAATGAAAAAAATTTTTAACGATTAATTTTTTAGTGTCTGAATAAAGCTAATTTAAGATGTTAATATGTCGAAGAAAAAAACTTTACAAGCAATTTCATTTTGAATTACTTTTAAATTACCTTAAAAGCATTAATTAACGTACTACAAATAACTGTGCTCACTTTAGTTTCCTTCTGTAACAGGAAAACTACTCAGATATGGTAAGTCCGGAAGAGACGGGCCACTTTTTTTCTCACACATATTACTTGAAAAATTGACTAGTGTATGATTCCTTTTTTGAAAAATAATACTTATTATAGTTTATATATTTATTGTGCAAAATAAAAAAACATGTAACTTGAGAAATATAAAAGTTATAGAACTTAACATAAATACTTCTTATTGGCCCATCTATACCAATACGTAGGTACCGATGGGCCATTGCTATTGGTAGAGTTGGGCTAATTTGAAACATATAAAATAATGATGTTAACCTATTTCTTTTTACTAGAAATTGTTTCACACGAATCACAAAC